CACTATCGCCGGGAAGGAGGAGGGAAGTGGGCTTTAAAGTGGGGATGATGGGTCTTGGAGCCTGGCACTGTTCCCAGGAAGGGAAGCGGGCTTTAAAGTGGGGATGATGGGTCTTGGAGGCTGGCACTGGCGCTAGGAAGGAGGAGGGAAGTGGGCTTTATAGTGGGGATGATGGGTCTTGGCGTTGCTGCCGCCAAAAGGGACCGCGGCCACCAGGCTCGGGGACTGCAGAAAACCCTGCCGACGCAGCCCAGGCGCTGGAGAAGCGACGGAGGAGGAGGAGGAGGAGGGAAGGGAGCGCCAGCCGGGCCGCCCTCTTCCCCCCACCCTCCTTCAACACCTGGCTCTCGGCTGGGCTTGAAGGCGATCCCCATCCCGGCCTCGCTTGCCCCGAAAGTGGAGGGCGCGCGCTTTGCCGGAGCCCCGCCGGTGTCTTGGGACGGGCTCTCGTTAGGTAAGCTGGAGGTCATCCGGAGCGGACGGCTCGCGTTAGAAAGACCGAGCGCCCTTTAAAAATAACTTTTTGAAGTGATGGCCGCAAGTGTGGCCGGGGAAGGGCGGCTGCGGGGCGGGGCGGGGAAGAGCGAGGATCTGCGGGGCTGCGGAGCGCTTTTTCGGCTCCTGCGCCCTCCAAAGAGAGCTTAGGACTACACCGCCCATCAGCCCCGGGGCAGACGGCGAGAAAGAGGCACCCGGCCCGCCTGGAGGACCTGACGGCCGGGCGCCTAAAAGGGATGGCGCGAATCAAAGGCGGGTTTTGCGCGGCGGCGGCAGCGAAGGCGGGCGATGCTTCCAGTTTTGAGGGGTGCAGAGCAAGAAGCGAGGGCTGGTGGGGCGAGGGGGAGAGGAGAGAGAGAGAGAGAGAGATTTCCAAGGATCTGAAGGGTTGTTTTTGTTTTTTTGGGGGGGGGGGGGGGGCTGGGGTTTGAAATTTAGAATAGAATATAGAATAGAAAACAGAATAGAATAAAATAAGGAACAGAATAAAGAATAGAATAGAATATAGAATAGAACATAGAATAGAAAATAGAATAGAATAATGGAAAGAATAGAATAGAATAGAATAGAATAGAATAGAATTCTTTATTGGCCAAGTGTGATTGGACACACAAGGAATTTGTCTTGGTGCAAATGCTCTCAGTGTGCATAAAAGAAAAGATACATTCGTCAAGAGTCAAGAGGAGAAGAAGAAGAGGAGGAGGAGAATAGAGAATAGAATAGAATAAACAGAGTTGGAAGGGACCTTGGAGGTCTTCTAGTCCAACCCCTTGCTCAAGCAGGAGACGCTGGCCAATACCATCACAGACAAGTGGTTGCCCAGTCTTTTCTTAAAAGCCTCCAGTGATGGGAGCGCCCACGATTTCTAGTGGCAAGCTGTTCCACTGGTTAGTTGTCCTCATCGTTAGGATGTTTCTCCTTAATTCCAGGTTGCTTCTATCCTTGATTAGTTTCCCTCTGTTGTTTTGAATTAACGTGGATTGTAAGAATAGAGTGAATGTTCTATATATTAATTATCCAGGCCATTGATCCAAGGAAGCGCGGCCGTTTGTTAGTTGGAGAAAGTCTGTTTCTTCTAAGATAAAGGGAGTGAGAAACTGAACTGCAGATAAAGGAATGATCCCCAAAGAGGCTATGGGCCTCTCCAAGGGAGGAGAGTTGTTGTTGACACAGCCTGGAGGAGACGAGACGGTTATGGATTTGTTCTTAACGCTCCTCAGATCTGATAAAGAGAGACCCATCTGGGAATGAACCTTGTTCGGAGTAGAGGAGTAAACATGCCAAAAACGAAACGCCACCAAAACAGGCATTGTTTATCAGAAACACAGACTGAGCCGCTTATGCATGAAGTTGAAGAAGGAACTTCTGGGTTGGAACTGTTTGGGGAAGAACACATTAAGTAAAACGCCACTCTTTTGGGTCAGGTGGTAGAGTGAGTTATGTGTTGTTGGCTGTATTGCACTTGGTGGGGTGGGGGAGAGGAGAGGAGAGGAGAGGAGAGAGAAAACAAGGTTTTTGGCAGGCAGAGCAGCCACAGCTGGAGATGGCAAGGGCTGAGTTAACGGGGCTTCTTCTTCTTCTTCTTCTTCTTCTTCTTCTTCTTCTTCTT